TTCAGGACAGCAGGAACAGTGCCAGAAGAAAGAGAGCAGTTGAAGATGTGTGTTAGGGAGGGCAGAAGACAAGGAGAGAGAGCTAATAAGGTGAGACAGGACAGGATCAAGCGGGCAAGTGGTGGGGTGAGAGGAAGGGATAAGTGCAGCCACCTCTTGTTCAGTAGCCTGGGAGAAGGTCGGAAGGGTTGGAGAGGCATGGTCCAGGGGAGGTTGAAAGAGAATTATTTCCTTATCTGTTCAATCTTGTCAGTAATTAGCAAGCAAGACTATCAGCTGTAAGGTTAGTTTGGGGGGTGGCCACAGCAGGGCAAAGAAGAGAGTTAAAGGTATCAAAGAGACGCCTGGGATTGTGGGAGCATGAACGAATAAGAGAAGAAAAGTATGACTGTTTGGCAAGGGCAAGGGCTGTGCTGTATGAACGCAATATGAATTTGTAGGGTAAAAAGTCTGACTCGGTGTGAGACTTCCTCCAGCAGCATTCAGCAGAACGAGAACATCTTTGCAGGTAGTGTGTTGATTTCGTGTGCCTTGGTTGGGGGCGTGTCCTCCTTGCGGTGTGTATTTGGAGAGGGGCTGCAGTGTCCAGGGCTGAGGTGAGGGTAGAGTTATATGAGGAGATAGTCAGTGAGGGACATGAGTGAGCAGGAATGGATAATAGTTGGGAATTGATATCAGCTGACAGATGCTGGAGGTTTATGGAACTCAGATTCCTTCTGAGTTGAGGGGGGTTAGGTTGAGGTTGTTGGGGGAGGGGGCTATTGAGAGCAAATGATAGGAAATGATGATCTGAGAGAGGAAATGGAGTGTTGCAGATGTCAGAGACTTTACAATCATGAGTGAAAATAAGGTCTAGAGTATTGCCTGCTACATGGGTGGGGGAATTAGCCCACTGTGATAGCCCAAAGGAGGGGGTAATAGAAAGAAGTTTTGAGGCTGCTGAGGCCAAGGGCGAATTAATGGGAATGTTGAAGTCTCCAAGAATTACAGATGGAATGTTAGAGAAGAGGAAGTAAGGAAGCCAGGCAGCAAAGTGGTTAAGGAAGAGAAGTGGGGAACCAGGGGGACGATAGATAACCGCAATGTTAGCAGAGATGGGTTTTAAAAGGTGGATTGAGGGGCGTGAGCCTGGACACCGACGGGAGCAGTCGCATTTAACCACAGCTCCGCGCCAACAGGCCTAAATTGAGTAATTGCCACAAAAAATAACATCAGAAAACACCTACCGCAACACAATGTCTCACCCCAAGACAAAGAGACAAGCAGAGAAGGCAGACAAGACGCAGTTTTTCGCCCCAAAGCAAAACGCGCAACGAAAGTCATGTCAGTTGGCGGGCAATCAAGATGGCGCCGACTACACTCATGAGGCAGCTCACTGTGCGCCTAATGATCAGGGGCCTCTGACCCAGGCAATAATGCAAGGCATGCTTAATGAGATGTCGAACAAAATAATGAATAGCGTACAAACCTCCATGATCTGCGCAAAGAATTAATGGATCTCGGCTCCAGAACCTCTAAAATTGAAGAGAAAATGGACGACGCTGAGGAGGCGCATAATGAATTAGCAGACAGACTGCAACAGATGGCAGAGCGCCTCGCAACGCAGGAGGTAAAATTAGCAGATATAGAAGACCGGAGCCGCCGTAACAATTTGCGGCTAAGGGGGGTGGCATAATCTGTGGGCATGAATGACTTGGCAGCGCATGTCACAGCCTACCTCAAAGCATTAGTGCCAGACATCCCACAGGACATGCTCCTCTTTGACCGCATCCACAGAACGGCGAACCAAGGTTTCTGCCCAAGACGCTCCCAGGGACACATTGGTGCTTATGCACTACTATGACACAAAAGAGTCTTTTCTGAAGAGCAGCAGAACACGCAAGGACTTACCGGAGCAGTACTGCAGCATCATGTTGTTTGCGGATGTCTCAGTGTTTACCCTCCAAAAGAGGAGAGAATTTCGAGGACATCACTGCAGCGCTTAGAGAACACCGCATATTGTACCGATGGGGATATCCAGTTAAGCTGCTGGTGCAGAGAGCAGGCAAGACCACAGTCATAGTAACCCCAGAGGAAGGTGCCGAAACACTGAGAGAATGGGGCATCGAAAGAGGACCCCAGAACAACCGGTCTTAAGAGCCGAGAAGGTTAACACCGGATTGGAAAAGAGCAAAACGTTCATAGACTGTATAAACATAGTGCCTGAGAGGGCCTAAAGTCACAGACTTTGCTAAGCCGCAAGTATCAATACTGCATTAGTGTTTATGACACTGTAATATCTATTACCCAAGTACTTGTCCATACCTAGTTAATTCCCTTATTGCTTACAATATAGGCGGGGCGGGTAATGCACCAGTGAGCAGACACGGTTGTTTAGAGATATAAGGGACAACCCTGATGCTTGAAGGGATTGGGATCCCTAAGAGGTAAACTACAACGAAATCCCGACACCTAATCCAGTGTTCAACTAAGTTTTTATATATATATATATATATATATATATATATATATATATATATATATATATATATATATAAAGAAAAAAAAATTAACATACATACTGCCATAGACAAATAGGGCGGCGTGCAGCGCATCTATCCCGCAGGCATGGGAGCAGAGAGCTTCTACCCCCAAGGCACTTGGATGAAGTGCCGAGCCACAAACAGGGCATGGTTCAACCTTGTAAATACTTTCTTTGTTGTTTGGATATGTTTTTATGTTGCTGTACTCAGCGGGATACGGCCTGTTGCCCACACCGCTGGGGACTGTGTTTGGGACCGAGTGGGTGGTCTCACCTCTAACAATAAGAATAGAGCACACGCTTTCATTAAAAGAGGCGTGACAATACTAAAAATTTTCTACCAGGGCACCTGTGGGAAGTTGCTACAGACCCTAGGGGTAGGCCCGCTCCGCTTGATAGCACTGGGAGGAGCAAGCCATCGTGTAACAAACGTACACTCTCAATACACAGCACAACCTTTCCTGTCAGACCCAACATGAAAATATACACACATAACGTGAGGGGATTGAATATCCAAACTAGAAGACACTTACTAAACCGAGAACTCAAGAAGCAAGGTGGAAGCGGTGCTCAACTCAGGTTTCCTCTTGGAGCCAATAAAGCTAACGAACGGCACCAGACAGGGGTGCCCCTTGTTGCCCCTGTTATATGTTCTAGCCCTAGAGCCCTTGGCAGTAAAGATAAGGAATAAACCAAACATACATGGCACCACGATCGATAAACGGGAATATACTACCAATCTATTCGCGGATGACGTCCTGTTGACACTTACCCAACCCCAGATCTCCCTCCCCAACCTATTAAAAGAGAGAACCACATATGGAACCCACTCATATCACAAACTCAACATTACAAAGACACAGGCCATGGGGTTGGGAATTCCGGCAAGCACATTGGACCTTCTACAGAGATCATTCACATTAGATTGGAGACAGGACCATTTAACGTGCCTAGGGATCAATATTACAAAAAAAAAAAACTACAAACCTAATAACTGCAAGCTATGACCTGCTGTTGAAGACTATAGCAAACACACTGAAGGGGTGGGAGGGAAAGTTCCTGTCGTGGCTGGGCAGGATGGCCGCAGTAAAAATGATAGTGCTGCCGAAATTCCAATATTTAATAAGAACCCACGTAGCAAAAACCTACCTAGATAACCTACAAAAGCTTTTTACGGGCTTCATATGGGCCTACCGAAAAGAAAGAGTGTCAGCAAAAGTGTTGTGCAGACCACAGGCGAATGGATGCCTGGGAATGCCGGATGTTAGGCAATACTACAAGGCGGCTATCCTGGTCACTGTCATACAAACACACGCCAGGGAGGACGTACCGCAGTGGGTAGAAATTGAGGCTTTTTGGGCATATCCCAAGTGCTTGAGTTATCTGTTTTGGATACCTCACACGCATAGGAAAATGCACCAGGACTGGCCACCCACAACACAACTCTTATTGAAAATATGGGACACTTCCACAAAACGGTGGGGATAAGACAGAGTGTGGGCACAAGCGACCCCCCTGTACAGTCTGCATCTGGCAAACCCCGCCTTTGACTATCGCCCCTGGATAAGCCAGGGCTGCAACAGGGTTGGCCACCTATACGACAGTGACAGACTACTTGACTTCCCAGACATACAACATAAATACACCCTACCACACAAAACAATTTTCCAATACCTACAGCTGAAATCCATGTTTCAGGGTTCCAACAATACCACCGTAACGGCCAACGCAAAACACATCGAACAGATGTGCACAGCCACAAAACATCCCAAGAGGCTGCTATCCACCCTTTATAATATGTTGATCCAACCGCACACAGACCCCCCAGACAAATTTAAGGTAGCTTGGCAGTTGGAAAGACCTTCACTGAACAACAATGGGGAAAAGCATTCTTAGCACACAAGAAGAGGATGAATTGTGCCTCTCACATGGAGCAAATGTGCAAAATCCAGTACCACTGGTACATGGTGCCTGAGCGATTGGCAAAAATATATCCAAATACTTCTAGTGTATGCTGGAGATGTCAGGAAGACAGGTGAACAATGTACCATATGTGGTGGAGGTGCCCAAAATGGCAACATAGTGGAGGGAAGTAGAGGAAATAGCGAGATTGGTCCTAGTCAGAGAATTCACAATAACACCAGAGTGCGGACTCCTATTCATGGGATTAGAGGAGCTCAACACCACGGACTCCTGCTTACTATTTCATATCCTAATAGCAGTGAATACCCTAATAGCTAGGGCATGGAAGCAACATCATGCACCCACTAGAGAGGTCCTACTTCAGCAAATAACAATGAATCCGGTATACGAAAAGGGATTGAACAGGCAAAGTCTCTCAAACAAATATGCCAACTTGGCCCACACTGAATGGGTACTGAAGATGGGCAAGGAAGGGGAGTAAAATAAATAGGGAGAGGTGGCCGCCGCCCACACGGAGCATAGTGGCCCACTGAGCATAGTAACCCGCGTAGTGACCCACATGTACATAGTTTTAAAGTTATAAAAAGAGGAGAGCCAGTGTGCATGACCATGATTCACGGTAAAGCCCAGGAGAGCTCACATGTAGACAGTAACAAGAAAGATAGGCTGAGGCACGGCCAAAGAGAACGATGGCTCTAAAAAAAACAGGGAATGCATATGGGACAATTACGCAACACCAAAAGGTGATACAAGACAGAATAACAGTTGTTTGTTTCCCCCGAACCTTCCTCCCTCCTCCCCCTCCTTCCAAGTCCATTTCTGTACCCCTATTCCCCCCTTTGCAACTGAACAATTGTTCACCAGGAAGACAAAACAGCAATGTTGTACACTGTATATCGCACCTCATTTTGTCTAGATGTTCTCAAAGATGATTGAAACCCATGTCAATATCAATATTGTTGAATGGGTAAGGCAGTGGCTGAGTGACAGGCAACAGAGGGTTGTAGACAATGCAGTTTATTCGATGCTTGGGCCTCAGGGATCTGTACTTGGACCCATTCTCTTTAATATTTTTGTGATGAAATGCCTTTTGTCACTGGATTGTTAGGTGACAAGCTGCCCTTTGCCCAGGCTGTTGGAGGAGCCTGATTGCCAGCCTCCTTCCTCATGACTATGCCCCTGGGGTGTATTGCCATTTAAAAAGACTATTTGGGGCTTATTGGCTTCTAAAGACTGTTTCTGCCATTTGAAACCATTGGAAGGTGTGTTTCTGCCCCTCCACCGTTTCCTGTCTATTGTTCTCCAGCAGGGCGTTGTCCCAGGCACACTGCCAAACCAGTTGGAACTGACTGCTTTTGTCCCTCCTTGGTTTCTCAACAGCCCTTGTTATGCTTTACTCTGTGGCAAATTTACTCTGCTCATGGGATCTGAACGCTGTTCACCTAGATTGGGCGCTCAGATCTGAGCTATCTGGGGATAGGTTAAATGTGGGGGTTCCATGTAATATAATAAGAATTATGTATTTTTATGTACTTTTACGTATTTTTGCTGTTAGTGTAAAATTTAGATATTTTCTGTACCTGGAGATAATTGAGTTTACTGCAGTGCCTTAAGCCAATTATCTCCAGGATGGAGAGGAGGGATTTCATTGTGTATGTGGGAGTGTTATTATGTTAATTAGTGTTCCCAGGCCCGGACTGGCCATCGGGCACACCGGGCAAATGCCCGGTGGGCCGCGGTGGCCGTGGGGCCGAGGCCGGCAGGGAGATCACAGGATCTCTCCTGCCGGTCTTTGCAGGGCCGGCGCTATCTGAACGCCGGCCCTGCAGTAGTCTACAGCGGGCCGGTGGGGAAATCAGAGATCTCCCTCACCGGCCCACATGCAGGATAGTGCGGCCGCCGAGGGAGAGAGCCAGCCTGCCAGCAGAAGAACCCGGCGGAGCTTTAACTTACAGCTCCGCCGGGTTCCTCTCGCGAGATTCGGAGCGTTGCCATGGCAACGCTCCGGGTCTCGCGAGAGTGATCTCTAGCCCAACAGGCTAGAGTTCACTCACCACTTGGACCACCAGGGATGGATGGCGGCAGGACTAGCAGGATCCCCCCTCCCAGGCATAAGGTAAGCAGGGAGGGGGGATATAATCAGGGCACATAACACTCCCAGCACCCTCACTCACACACACACACACTGCACCCCTGACACTCACACACACACACTGCACCCCTGACACTCCCACCCTCACACACTGCACCCCTGACACTCACAGCACCCTCACACACTGCACCCCTGACACGCACAGCACCCTCACACACACACTGCACGTCTGACCCTCACAGCACCCACACTGCACCCCTGACACTCACAGCACCCTCACACACTGCACCCCTGACACTCCCACCCTCACACCCTGCACCCGACACTCACAGCACCCTCACCACACTGCACCCTGACACTCACAGCACCCTCACACACGCTGCGTCTGACCCTCACAGCACCGCACACTGCACTGACACTCACAGCACCTCCTCACACACTGCACCCCTGACACTCACAGCACCTCACACACACACACTGCACGTCTGGACCTCACAGCACACACACTGCATGTCTGACACTACAGCACCCTCACACACTGCACCCCTTGACACTCCCACCCCTCACACCCTGCACCCCACACACCTCACAGCACCTCACACACTGCAACTCACACACGACCAGTGCACCCCACACACACTGCAACGCCTGACCACAGCACACACACACTGCACCCCTGACACCTACAGCACCCTCACACACTGCACCCCTGACACCCACAGCACCCTCACACACTGCACCCCCACACGCGACAGCACCTCACACACACACTGCACCCTGGACCCCTCACAGCACACCACACTGCACGCCTGACACAGGCCAAAGCACCCTGCACACACACAAAATGCACGTCTGACACTCACAGCACTACACACTGCACCACTGACATTCACAGCACACACACTGCACCCCTGACACTCACAGCACCCTCACACACTGCACCCCTGACACGCACATCACACACACACACACACTGCACGTGTGACACTCACAGCACCCTCACTCACACACTGCATGTCTGACACTAGCACAAACAAAATGCACCCCTAACACTCAGAGGACTCTCACACTGCACGCTGCTGACCTCACAGCACACACACTGCACGCCTGACCTCACAGCACACACACTGCACCCCTGACACTCCCACCCTCACACACTGCACCCCTGACACTCACAGCACCCTCACACACTGCACCCCTGACACGCACAGCACCCTCACACACACACTGCACGTCTGACCCTCACAGCACCCACACTGCACCCCTGACACTCACAGCACCCTCACACACTGCACCCCTGACACTCCCACCCTCACACCCTGCACCCGACACTCACAGCACCCTCACACACTGCACCCCGACACGCACAGCACCCTCACACACACTGCACGTCTGACCCTCACAGCACACACACTGCACCCCTGACACTCACAGCACCCTCACACACTGTACCCCTGACACTCACAGCACCCTCACACACTGCACCCCTGACACGCACAGCACCCTCACACACACACTGCACGTCTGACCCTCACAGCACACACACTGCACGTCTGACACTCACAGCACCCTCACACACACACTGCACCCTCTACACTCAGAGCACCCTCACACACACACACTGCACCCCTGACACACACACACACACACACACTGCACCCCTGACACTCTCAGCACCCTCACACACACTGCACGTCTGACACAGCACAAACAAAATGCACCTCTAACACTCAGAGCACCCTCACACACACACACTGCACCCCTGACACACACAGCACACACACAGCACCCCTGACACTCACAGCTTCCTCACATGCATACACTGCACCCTCACACACAGCTTCCTTACATGCACATAGCACCCTCATGCAAACACAGCACCCACTCACACACAGCACACACACACTGCACCCATCACACACACAGCACCCTTACCCACATAGCACCCTCACGCAAACACAGCACCCATCACTCACACACACACTGCACCCCTCTCTCACACACACTACACCCCTTACACACACACACACACACACAGAGCACCCTCACACACACTGCGCAATATGCTTTCCTGGCATTTTTGTCTCCTGGTATCCCAACTATGGAGACACCAGAGACAAATTTCAAGCAAACACAGTGCAAGCATGTTATTAAATTTGCTTGCGCTGTGCAGAACAAATACAGGGTATTTTTTTCATGCCAGAGCTCTTCAGCAGAGCTCTGCGCATGGTCTACCCTGAAAGAGCATTGAACCAACATGCTCACTTTGTGATGGGGCGTGCTTGTCATTGGTGATGACAAAACACACCCTATCTGGCCCCGCCCCCTTTTTAGTGGGCCGCTGTAATTAAAAAATGCCCGGGCCGAATTTTCTTCCCAGTCCGGCCCTGAGTGTTCCCATTGGTTTGTGTCCCTTTTGTCACAGTTTAGCACCAGGTCCAGGATGTGTGCCACTGGCCTGAAAACTTGTATATAAGGAGTAATAAAAGCTCATTAGAGGGAGATCATCTTGTACCTTCATGAAGTTTCGGCTCATGTTTAGGGGATTGGAGAACTACACTCTGGGGATTGCTATAATCACTATACTCCCCAGGGTATAATCACTAAGCTCTGCTAAGAGCTTGTTCCTGTTCCTGCTCTCTGGAATTCTGAGAGGTTGACCTACTGGAAGCTGGACCCTGGTCCAGAGTGGGTGGAGACAGCGAGACCCCAACCAAGCTGCAGCGCTTCGTAGGAGTCTACAGTGGTTATGGTGTCTGGCGGATTGCTTGGAGTCCTTGGAAAACACTAGGAGCATCCATCAACGGAAGGTGCCCGGTCGGGGTGCCAGCGGTTCCGTTACAATTTTTATTAGTGATATTGCAGAAGGATTTGATGGTAAGGTATGTCTTTTTGCTGCTGATACTAAGATATGTAACAGGGTTGATGTTCCAGGAGGGATAAGCCAAATGGCAAATGATTTAGGTAAACTAGAAAAATGGTCAGAGTTGTGGATAAGTGCAAGATAATGCATCTTGGACGTAAAAACCCAAAGGCAGAGTACAGAATATTTGATAGAGTCCTAACCTCAAAATCTGAGGAAAGGGATTTAGGGGTGATTATTTCTGATGACTTAAAGGTAGGCAGACAATGTAATACAGCAGCAGGAAATGCTAGCAGAATGCTTGGATGTATAAGGAGAGGTATTAGCAGTAGAAAGAGGGAAGTGCTCATGCCATTGTACACAGGGCCGGTGCTTGGATTTTTAGGTACATAGGCGAAGATGCCTTTTTCCGCCCCCCCGCACCCCCCCCGAAAAAAAACATCTTCACCTATGTGCCTCTTAACCAGCCCCTCTCCCCTCCCTGACCATTAGTAGTCCCTTCCCTTCCCTGTCCCTTAGTGTTCTTCTCCCCTCCCCCCTCTTTTCCCTGTCTCTTGGTGTTTCTCTCCCATTCCCTCCCTGTCCCTTGGTGCACCCCACACCCCTTTAGTGGTCACACTCCCCTTCCTGGTGTGCCTCCTACCTCTATTGTTGCATTGCCGAGTGGAGCAGATCCCCTAAAGGAGCTTCAGTTTTCTGTACCCGGCCGGACTGACAGGGAGTGCTCTCTCTGTGAGCACCTCCTGTCAGTCTGGCCAGGTACAGGAAACAGAAGTTCCTGTACCGCGCTCTGCTCCGCTACACTCTGTACACACTGACAGTCACA